ACAAAATTACCGGGTCGCCGATAAAAAAAAAAATATCTAAAACAATAACCGGTGGAAAAATCTAGGTTAGATTATGGTGACGTCATAATGAATACATTATTGGTAAGGTTTATGTTATTATTTATTTTTTTATGCATGAGTAAATTGCTTTATAATAATATATATAAGAATGAGCTAGGGTGACATAACGCTAAAGGGGAGATACGATTTAAGTACGTTCGGATTCCTAAAAACAATCATAGTTATTTTCTATTATTTTAAGGAAATCGAATCTAAATTTAAATGCGCAAAAATATTTTAATTAGCTTTTATTTAATCAAAGTTAAAGTTATATTATTATAAATTACAAATGCATTTAGAGTATCAAACTAAGGAACTATTTTAAGCAGTTTATCCGAATTGAAAAGTTATGAAAAAAAATTAAAAAATAATAAAAATCATGATCACAGAATTACACCGTGATCACATTTATCGGGAAAACCTAAGCATCAGTCTTTTTTAGTGCGTTGTTTATTTTGCGAAATAATATTAACATTAATTTGTTCTTAATAATTACGCAAATGACGTCATAGCGCGAATAGCCTATTTCGCCAAAACTCTTAGGTTTATTTAAATTTAATAGCCGAGTGTGACAAAACTGATAATGTATTTTCACTTCTTTAAAGTACAATTAATAAATACAATAAATTGCTTTTTAAATTGTTAATATAACACACACACCCTTTGCTTTGTATAGTTTTACATTTAAAAAGTTTTGCCTTTTTTTATTTCAAAAATATACTTTTATTAAATTTATAACGTAATAAAAACTAACCTTTAAATATAATTCTAATAAGAAAATGCCGTTTAGGTCAATCAGTGCAGCGCAACTCCATAAGTAAATAGCATTCACTAATCCATTTATACCTCATATAAATAAGAACGAACCATATGAAGTGCAAAATATGTTAGTTTGGGTATTGAAGGGACTACAATCCGGTGGAAGATTTTCTAAATTTATTGAAATCTCGGTGGGGGAGGGGTTGGTCACTTTGACCCAGGCAGCACAAGATACGTTTCAAAATAAAGGAATGAATTTGATAAATAATTAAACTTCTTGGGTACATTCATATCGGAGGTAGGAAATAGGATGCGTACATTTTTACGTGGATGACAATATATTTAAATCCTATGGTATAACATTTGTGAAAAAAGAGACGTTACATTCTCTAATTACAAATATGGGTATGTTCATTTTGTCCAAGGCAATACAAGATACGTTCCAAAATAAAGGAATTAATTTGATTCATAATTAACTTTCTTGGGTATATACATATCGGAGATAGGAAAAAAGGATGCGTACATTTTTACGTGGATGACAATATAATTAAATCGTATGGTATTACATTGGTGAAAAAAGAGATGTTAAATTCTCTTTTTACAAATAAACATATGTTTACCAATTAAGAAAATCAATGGTGTTAATAAATCTTGGGTACATTTATATAAGTATATCCATGAATTTCAAAACCCAATCATTTTACACATTTGAAAATAAATTTTGATAATTTAAAAAAAAAATGAAAATATTTTTTTTTGTTAATTTGCAAAAAGTAAAGAGGTGTGTATTTTTATGAGATTAAAAATGTATTTTTTTTTTAAAGACTGTCAAATCTGATATAGACGTGAAAAACAGTTGCGGGATTCTGCTTTGTTTTTCTGATAATGTATAATTTAAAAAAAAGGCAAAAATGTGTTTACATTTTTAATGAAGATATCAACATATCGAATTCCTGTAATACAAAATATATTTATATCATATATAGAGTTTTTGCTTTAAATTTAAGATTAGGTTTTTAAACAATTTTTAGAGAAAAAAAGTTGTAATTCAAGGGCACGAAAAGGGGTAAATGTTAAGTATTTCTTTAGCGTAGTAATTGTCCCTCAATTAACTTCTTTAGTGACAAAAGTGATATAATTAGAGATAATTTAAACTGGGTAATTTAAGGTCATGTTTAGAGGGGAAAAGTATAGTTTAGGAGCGTGAAAGGGTAGGGTACGAGTATCATGCGTAGGAGATAAACACTTCTCAAAACTTAATGATGTTAGAAACGTAAATACCATTACATTTTAAAAGTAATGAATTGAAATGATTTTTGCAATAGCAGTTAGAAATTATCGCAAAGGACCTACCATTATTATCCCGATAACATCGGGTCATTTATTCTAGTATATGATAATGATGTGGAAATCCATATCTGTTATACGTTACATATAGGACAGTAGTGGCGATAAAAATGTCAGTGGATTACGAAGGACAAGTATAAACCTGACAGGTTCACGAGGATAAAAGCTTGTTTTTTTTACCTCAACGGTTACCAAAATGTTGGCAACAGAAGGTTTTTAGGTGAAACACATTTGAAATTCTTATTTTTATTCGTAATTTATCAATATATAGTCTATGTATATAATTTTAAATTGTATTTATTTATATATTTATTCACACATAAGTCTTCTTCCGTTTTGGCGAGACGATGGAGTAGCTATGGACACTTTATCAAATGGTATACGAGACCAATTTCGTCTAATCATATATATATATACTGATATAGCCCGAAAAATATTGGCGAGCGCAATGCCTAAACTTCCCATCTACTAAAGTTACCTGACGAAACATGAATTCAACTTGAATTTAAGTAGGCCCTAACGCACATTTAATTTAAGAGTCCCAATTTTTGATACACACCTTCCCCCATAATACGCTAGTGCACAGTAGTGCACACTTTTTATTTCACGCCCATGAACTATATTAAATATTCTGATGTCCTAACCATTTTAAAACGAATAATTTTTACACGATATTTAAATCGATACGATTTTATTTCCGAAAAGAAAACATTACGCACCAAACGCAGTTGCGTTATATTTAAAAAAAATCATTTACCGTAGTTATCGGTAATTATATTTTGCGCGCTATTGAACTCATCATTGAACCATGCTTTATTTCAAACGTATAGAATTATATGTAATATACTCTCAATACCAAATACGCTGATCGGGAAGCAGTCATTTAGGAAGCAGTCCATTGGGAAACAGTTCATTAGGAAGCCGTCAACGAGTCAAACCAGAAGGGTAGCAATATTCATAAGATATATATAATATAATAATAAAGTGTATTTGAAAAACACGCTTCATCCCCAAAAGCTCGAAGCGCGGTACAAATTCAACCATATTATAAAGAGAAATAAAAACAATCTGAAATTTACCACATTTAAAAAACAGACGCAACAATATAAAACTACATACGAGCATACCAAGTCAAAGTCTTTCATCCCGTTTCAACCATAGGCAACACAGGTCAATATACATTAACTGAAAAGATGGTAGATAGGTACTATAAGTATAATTAGTTGACGAATTTAGTTCTCTGTTTTTTTATTCTAGACTCCAGCACTTTATACCCTTTCGGCGTTTCCATCTGGTGTGGGGGGGGGGGTTCCCCTCAGGAGCCTCTTCGACAATTTCAAAAGACACAAAAAAATCGTGCCGAAGGCATCGACGATTTGATTTAAAAAAATGTCTGCACATTTGTAATGTTCATATTGACCCCCATAACATCTTAGCAATAAAATTCTTTAAGTGGAAGTGTGTTAAGTTTCTTAGCAACAGATATTTCCAAGAGCTTTGGGGCGCATTCTGAAGAAAAAAAACATGAGCGCATTTTGGGGTAAATAGTGTTAGCTGTCTAGAACTGTTGTATGCTGCTGCCGAGATGTAATCTGGCTGGTTAGATAGCGTGCAGTGTCTGGTGCGCGAGGTCTCATGGGCTGACGATTGCCTTGAGATCTGATTTACTGACCGGTGAGGTACCATGGGCCGAATGATGGGTGAGATGTCATTTACTGACTGATGGGTGAGATACCATGTGCTGACTTAGTGGTGAGATATCATGAACTGACTGATGGGTGAGCTATCATGTACTGGCTGTTGAGTGAGACATCATATACTGGCTGATGAGAGAGATCTCGTGTCTTAAATAATGACAGTAAATTATTTCCCATGACGTACATGATCAGTCCCTATTTTACATAAAACCAGATGGTCTTCCTGGCATTGATCCAGCGAATGAAACAAAGACTGCTGATATGTTCCTATCTTCTTTTGTTTTAGGGGCCCTTGGGAGTCCGAGTGTGGGGGGACACTGTCCCTGAACACACAAATCCTGCCCAAACGTGGTTGATAGAATCTCTCTCATTAATGCAAATAATATGTAGTTCTGATCAGGGGTGATCAATGCTATGGCCTGTAAGTATTTTAGAGTGAAATGAAACATATCCGCTGTTCAGTAGTGCACTTGTTAGAATGTGTCTCTCTTTTTCCTTCTCTCTCTCTCTCTCTCTCTTCCCCTCACTATTTCTCTCTCTCTCTCTCTCTTTCTCTCCCTCTCTCACCTTTTCTCTGTTTCTCTATTTCTTTCTCCCTGTATTTACCTCTTTCTCAATTTCTCTCTTTCCCTCTCTCCATCTCTCTCTTTCTTTCTCTTTCTCCATTTCTCTCTTTCTCCATCTCCACCTCTCTCTTTCTTTCTCTTTTTTTCTTTCTCTCTCCCTCTCTTAACCTCTCTCTTTATATATATTTCTGTTTCTCGCTCTCTTTCTTTCTCACTCCCATACACATACACACACATGCACACACACATTTAAACATACATACAAACAAACACACACACAACATATATACATTTGTTCATAATATACATATTGGAAACGTGACACTTACAATCCGTTAAAAATTGGTTCATTTATATAATTAGTGAACTGGAACTCATTGTTGTTTTTTCGCCACGGTTGTGCAATTTCGCGGCGTTGCGAGTAGTCCTACTAAATATTACCCACGGCTTATTTTTTTTTATTTTTTTTTTTTACTCTTGTTCCGCGTTTCGAGCCTTTGTGGATGAAGCGTGTTTTTGAAAAACACTTTATTATTATTATTATTATTTATCCCCACAAGTGTCGCAAGTTTCTATAGTTCCTGCACAGGTTGCGTCTATTGAACCGTAACAGCCGTGCGACGAGCAGAGCCGCTTCGCCTATTTAATGGCGAGTAGCCGGCAAATCAAGCAGACACACGGGCACGTGAGAATCGCAGTGAATACATTTACGTGAGTCATTTCTTTCATGTAACTAGTTTGTTCTGATGTTTTGTTAATTTAAAAAAAAAAAAAGTCTTATGGGAGTGTCATCTGTTCAATTCTAATTGGGCTACCCTGTGTCTGGTCAATGGTCAGTCTGCCTGGTCAATGGTCAGCATGCCAGGACAATTGGTCAGTCTGTCGGGTCGATGATCAGCCAGTCTGGTCAATGGTCGGCTTGTCAGGTCAGTGGTCAGCCTTTGAGGTCAATGGTTGGCCAGTCTGGTCGATGGTCCGTATGTAAGGTCAGTCGTCAAGTCTGTCTGGTGAATGGTCAGCCCGTCAGGCTCTTCTGTCACGCCGCCATCCTAAGCTAAGACGCAGATGACAAGTGCGCGTCACACTACGTCATCCGTTTTGACACAACCCACAATATTAACACACACATAAACAAAATCTTCTCACATTCTTTAAATACACATTCTTTAAATACACATCCTTTAAATACACATCTTTTAAATACACATTCTTTAAATACACAGTCTTTAAATAGACATTCTTTAATTACACATTCTTTAAATACACATTCTTTAAATACAAATTCTTTAAATACACATTCTTTTAATACACATTTGTTAAATACACATTCTTTAAATACAAATTCTTTAAATACACATTCTTTAAATACACATTCTTTAAATACACAATCGTTAAATACACATTCTTTAAATACACATTCTTTAAATACACATTCGTTAAATACAAATTCTTTCAATACACATTCTTTAAATACACATTCTTTCAATACACGTTCGTTAAATACACATTCTTTCAATACACATTCGTTAAATACACATTCTTTAAATACACATTCTTTAAATACACATTCGTTAAATACACATTCTTTAAATACACATTCTTTAAATACACATTCGTTAAATACACATTCTTTAAATACACATTCTTTAAATACACACACGTTTGGCTACATTTTATCTACATCATCTGGAAATACTAAGGTCTGGTTGTAAGGTGTCACAACTGTCGTACAACGGTCGTACAACTGTCTTACAACTGTCGTACAACGGTAGTACAACTGTCTTGCAACTGTCATACAACTGTCTTACAACTGTCATACAACGGTCGTACAACTGTCTTACAATTGTCGTACAACAGTCTTGCAACTATCGTACAACGGTCGTACAACTGTCTTACAACTTTCTTACAACGGTCGTACAACTTTCTGACAGCTTTCATACAACGGTCGTACAACTGTCTTACAGCTGTCATACTACGGTCGTACCACAGTCTTGCAACTATCGTACAACGGTCGTACAACTTTCTTACAGCTTTCATACAACGGTCGTACAACTGTCTTACAGCTGTCATACTACGATCGTACAACCAGATCACTACAAAGAGGACGTCGGAACCGCTGACAGTTACCTTTTAAATTTGATCTCTATTCTAGGTACATCATTTATGTAACATTTCACCTTTTTTCTTTAAAAAATTGTTTCACTCAAACTTCACCAAGGTGCACTGTGTTCTTGTGAATTCTTGGATGCTGTGTGTTCTTGTGTGCTATCCATATTCATATACCGAAGGGTACTGACCTCATAATATCCATTTTTTCTGGGGCGGGGGGAAGGGCAGTTCATGTTCCTTATATAAGCTATATCAATATCAAAAGGGTTAGCCATTGCTATCGGTTCAATTTTGAATTCATGGATCTAGGCCTAGCTTTGTTTATTACCCTTCTTAGTCCGCTTGAAATATCGGTGGCTTTAAAACTAATAATATATAATCTAGAATTGTCCAGAAAGTTCGATAATTATAAAAAGCTATCTCAACGGCATTTTTAAACCAATTATATTGAGACAAATGTTTAATGTTAACTCTATAATTTATCTGCCTGATTTTTATAGGGCCCCCTATCTCAGGCATAAATAAATCGGTACCATTATGGAATGGGCCCCCGAGGCCCCTCTTTCAACTTAAATGTACTAATGTAACAATGACGTATCGCAGTCCAACACTTTTTTATAAAGTGTAACAATGACATTGGCGAAACCAGGGCAGATATAAAGTGTAACAATGACATTGGTGAAACCAGGGCAGATATAAAGTGTAACAATGACATTGGTGAAACCAGGGCAGATATAAAGTGTAACAATGACATTGGTAAAACTAGGGCAGATATAAAGTGTAGCAATGTCATTGGTGAAACCAGGGCAGATATAAAGTGTAACAATGACATTGGTAAAACTAGGGCAGATATAAAGTGTAACAATGACTTTGGTGAAACCACGGCAGATATAAAGTGTAACAATGACATTGGTGAAACTAGGGCAGATATAAAGTGTAACAATTACATTGGTAAAACTAGGGCAGATATAAAGTGTAACAATGATATTGGTGAAACTAGGGCAGATATAAAGTGTAACAATGACATTGGTGAAACTAGGGCAGATATAAAGTGTAACAATGACATTGGTGAAACCAGGGCAGATATAAAGTGTAACAATTATGACATTCTTTTAGTGAACATCTCTGAAAGCTCTTTTTTTTCCACTGAACAGAATTGAAATAGAAATAATTGAAATAGAAATGTATGTAGATGTTTTTTGTTGTTGTTTAAAAAAAGTGAGTCACCGTTTTCTTGAACAGATGTCCAGAATTTCAAAAAAAAAATAATAAAAAAAAAATAATAATAATAATTAAAAAATGGAGTCAATGACTCCTGCGCACCGAGGGAAAATTTTATGATTTCCCCAATGGAGTCAGTGTATGGTGCAGTCATTGGTTTTTTTACAATGAAATCCAGATTATTTATATTAAATTTACAAAAAAAAAAAAAAAAAAAATTTGTCATTCTTGGCTGTTGTAGCGTATACAATTGGGGAAAGGAGGGGGGGGAGGAGCAGAGGTTGCTGTAAATTAATAAATAGATATATTGTTTCCGAAAAGTAGGATGTTTAAGTATTTTAAAAATACCACCAAAAAAAAAATAAAGAAATAAAGAAACAACCATATGATCGGCGATATTATTGCTATACTTTTTACGTACTTAGCTGATTATTAAAAAAAAACAGCCCTTAAAACAAAGTTGTTCTCATAAATCCTCTATAAAATTTAATATCGAGTGTTTGGGGGTAGGTCTAAAAAATTCGGACAAAATTTGCATACACCTACGAACTTTATAAAAAAAAAATCTAAATTTTTTCCTCCCCCTCCTCCCTCACCCAAAGGCTCGCGACCCCATATTTATTTCCCACCAGAGAATCATACTAATATTCTGATGAGCCACCCGCCTTTACACCACAGATTGATTTCATCAACTATTTGAGAAAGACAAATGAAAGTAATACGCACCAAAAGCACTTGCGATGCTTAAAAAAAACAACAAACAAACAATTTTATATAGCGTTTTTATCGGGAATTTCATGTCGTGAAGTCCTATTTCCTTCATCTGACAGTAGAAAAACAGTAAGGAAAACTGATTTTTGGGGGTTGTGTGGGTGGGGCTAACATTTAAGAGAATTCGTTGTCATTGGCAACGAGTCTACGCGCAACATTTCGGCTCGAGGATTTGACGGGAAGTGAGTCAATTTGCATTCCGAAGATTTTTTTTTTTTGGGCCAGTCCGCCATCCAGCCACACAGCCGCACACGAAGAAAAGCCAAGTTAATATAAAGGGTTTCAAAATGATACTATAAATAGATATTACAGATATTTAAGTTTTTTTAAAAAAAACGTCATGTACTCCAGCCGTGTTTCAATCCAAGAAATTGATTCAAAAGTTCTTTTAAACGATGCCGAAAGAGATCATTAATAATATACTAAAAGATTTATTAAAATTTCACAATTCCGATCACCATTTTACGAAAACAGAAAATCAGGTAATTTCCTGAAGAGCTCCGAATTTGATGCAATCTAAATTCCATTACGCGCTTCTGAAATGTCATTGGTTATATCACGCAGTGCGAATGATGACGTCAAAATATACAGCTTAAAAGAATCAGTTGCATTTTAAGTCATTGGCATTAAGGTACCATTGGAAGAAGAAAATACATAATATAAATAAAGTTGTGATCAAAGAGAGATTTTTAGCCAAAGATGTAACAATGTGTATGTCGTCATCATCCATCACTTAGCAAAAGTGACAAATTCAATTCAAAAATATTTTCCGTTTCAGGTCTGCAAACATGGATGAGTATCAAATGTGGGCGCAGATTGCTAAAAAGTACACCGTGCACGAGGAGACGTACCTGCTGACCCGGAACATGCTGGCCAGCGGATTCAAGCCGTACAACGAACTCGGTTTGGAGAAGGCGAGACAGCAAGTCAATGAGAGGATCAAGATGCAAACCCCTGTAACTGACTACAGCGGTGATGAGTGGGAGGTAATTGTGCCATCGCCCTACTCAAAAGACGGAATTCCCGTAACGGTGTTTAAACCTTCCTCGGCACCGGAAGTTCCCGCCATATTCGTGTATTTCCACGGAGGTGGTCTCCTCGTGGGGAATCGCAAACTGTGCGAGGGGGGCCTCAAGATTTTTGCCAGGGATTCCGGGGCGATCGTCCTGAACGTCGAATTCCGTTTGTTACCGGACCCAATATTCCCCCTCGCCCCTTTCGATGACGGGGTCATCGTTACCAATTGGGTATTACAAAACAAGGAAGCTGTTGGTGGTCATCCACACAGTAAAGTCGGCGTCGGGGGTGACAGCGGTGGTGGTTCTCTCGCCGCCAGCGTCACGAACGACGTTCGAGGGCTGGACTTCCAGGTTCTCGTCTACCCCATGACGGACACGACCTTGTCCAGTCCAACCATCCAAGAGTTCGCTGAATGCCCGATAATGCGTGCAGCGGAGCTCAAATGGTTTCTGGACACCATGATGGCACACATCCCCGACTACAACAGCAACCCAAGGGTCAACCTCATGGCGCGAACCAACACTGGGGACTCCCCACCGGCCCTCATGATCCTCTCGGAACTCGATCCTCTGAAGGGCTGCGGGCTCGACTACGCCGACAAGCTGAGAGCCGCCGGGGTGAGCGTTGAATGTGAGATAATCAAGGGAGTCCCTCACGTGTTCTTCATGTTGCGCGACGTGTTCAAGACCAAAAGCGCTGAAGCCTACGCCCATGTCGTCAAATATCTTAAAAAGTTCCAGTAATAAACCATTGACCAACACTCCTAACGCGCAAACATTATTTTAAACCGATATACCGCAAACACCCCTAAATTGCCTGAAGTAGCAAAATCATCGAGGAGAAACAAAACAACAACTTTGGATTAGTTAATCAGTCGTATTTATTTTTATACTTTAGCGTGTTTGTAAACAGAATTTTACTCTGGATTTCATGATTCCAAAATTAGCTTGCTCAGTACCTTGTTCAATGCGAATCCACACATGGATGGTCCTAGTCTTGGAATTAATGCAGCTTCATAAGAGGACTTTCTTACCCATCTCAGATCATATTAAATTACCGGTTTATTCAAAATCTTTTGTTGTTGTTGTTTTTTTTTTTTGGTTGTTTTTTTGCTTTTTTTCTTTTCCTTTTTACAGTGTTTTTTTTTTTTTATATTTTCGTTTTATTCAAAATCTTTTGTTGTTGTTGTTTTTTTTTTTGGTTGTTTTTTTGCGTTTTTTCTTTTCCTTTTTACAGAATTTTTTTTTTTTAAAGTCTAGAATAATTATGAGCCTTTCTCTAGTAAACTATGTTTTGCAAATAACTCGCACTGCCGTCAGACAACGCGGATGACTGTTTTGGGTTGTAGGGAAAATATGACTTAATGCGGAGTCTGTTAACGTATTAACTATTTCATTTGACATCTTGCTCCATTATTTCCTACAAGATATGATCACATTGTTTTGATGGTCTCGTGCACAGCTCATTTCAACACGCTGCTGTTGCGCTGAGATTCACGGGGATGTCGCAAGATAAAAAAAAAAAAAAAAAAAAAAAAAAAAACAATTATAAAAAAAAAAAAAAAAAAAAAAACTATGTTTGGGAACATTACCAAAAAATTAAACAAACCAAAAAAACCCCCCCCCCCCCCCCCAATAAAATTATCAATAAAAATCAGCGATCAAATCATAAATAAACACAGTTCAAGCCATTTGTCCGAAAATGGGTCAAGAGAGTTAACTGGTGTAACAAGGTGGTGATTTGGAATAAAAACCCAGTGGATGCCCCCTTTGTGATAATAAATGAAGGACTGCGTTCAAGCTGTGTGTGGGGAAACAATTTGAACGAGTTAAGTGGACCGGCCTTGGCTAAGTACCCTAGCGCCTCTAAGAGCAGAGGCGGGCTATCCTTCCTCAAAGGATAGAGTAAATGCCCCCCCTCCCCCTTTAACTAAAATTGATTAAGAGCCGCTGGCCCTCTTTGATTTATTTAATCACCGTTTATTTGCTTAGAGAATCTCCGAGGAAAAATTAAAGAAATTTCAAGCGGGTTGATCTTTCGCTGTGCTCGTCTGCACTGACGAAACATTGGGCTACACGTGTCGGCAAGGCGCGGGAGATGGCAAGGACGTAGCGACGAAACTGTCTCCGTCAAGGCTGGAGCCCGCAAGTAATGTTTATAGCGTGTCGAAGAAGCAACGTTGAGAAATTGTGGGGAGAGTTGAGTTTGTGTCGTTATCCGTCTCACACTTCTTCTTCTTGTTGTTGTTGTTGTTGATTTATTCATATACGGAATGCAAAACGAGGAAAGACATGTCCTAATTTATGCCGTAGGCTGTATGCCAAGATTTAGGATATTTAGGAAACTAAAAATTTTATCAATAGATATATCTATACAAGTATTACAAGGGAAGATTTGTTTGTTTGTTCCGCAAAGCTTTTTACATGGCTTGATGGATTTTGACCAAACTTGGCAAATATATCCATCATGATCTAGAATCAAATACTGGAAAAAGGGCGGGGGAGAGGGGGGGGGCTTTAAAAAAAATTCCGTTAGGGGCTGGAGGAGTTGGGGGGGGGGGGTAGGTTTGCGGGTGGATGTGTTATAGGTACCAGAATAAACGCATTCCTCATTTCGGCAATACACAGATAAATAATCATATCAAAATTGTGTTTGAGGTACAATTTACTTTCATAAATTGCCTTCTTTGCATTACTGTAAATTTGGTGCGCCTAGAATCGTCCAACTCTAACCAACTGCCGCTCGCTGTACCTCTCCCACGGGATGCCAATGTTGGGGACCGTGTACCAGATTGGACCAGACGCCAGACACTATTAAAAATCGCTTATCTATACACCGTATTGTTATCCACGGCAATAAGACGTTTCATTAAAACCGGGGGGAGATACACAAAAGATTTATTAATTTTTTTATTTTTTTTTAATGAAGCTTCTATTGATGTTACACCAAACAAAAAAACAAAAAAAAAAAATCTCAGAGTGGAAAAAGATGTGGCCTCAGACAAGTAGATCAACCACCATCTTCCTCTTTAGGATATTTAATTTTTAAAAAAATTAAAAATCAACTTGATATGTTTGCCATCTAAAATGTGTTTTTCCATAAATGAACTTTCTTAAATTAACTTTTTTTTCTTTTTAAATGCACATTTCGTTTTTAAAAACCATGTTGGGCAGTGTGCTTCCACAAACAACCCAACATTACTTTACCTGCGCTGTTCAAGATGCGGGCCATTCAGTGCTGTTTCGTGAGTGTCTTTTTTTGGCGCATACTACTGTTATTGTTTATCTTGCTTTATTATTTATATTTTTTTTCGCCAAACACATTTCCATTGAAGTGGAAGCAAGTAATCGATATAGAGAATGCATATTTGATCTAACTGCCGAGCTAGTCGTCAGCTGATGGCATGGTGCTCGGCTTCCCCCGCGAGGGAGGGCTGAGAAATTCACTTGTCGTGCAGCATGTGTCCCATTATCCCTATCATTGTCTCTCTCTCCATCTCTATCTTTCTTTCCCTCTCTCTCCCTCCATTTCTCCCTCTCCCTCTACATCTCTCCCTTTCTCCCTCTTTCTCTATCTCTCACACCTTCTTTATCCCTCACTCCATCCATCTCTCTCCCCCCTCACTGTCTTCCCATCTCTTTTTCGCTCTCCTCTCCTCTTCTCTCTAACCTCCTTTGTCCTTTTCTGCCTCCGCTCTTTCCCCTTCTCTCTCTCTCTCTATCCCCCTCTCTCCCTCCTTCTCTCTTCCTTCGTTTCTTCCACTCACCATTCACCCCTCTCTCCCCTCCTCTCTCTCACTCACTCTCTTCCCTTAGTACACATTGACATAAAAGTCTAAAGTTAAACATAACTATTTCGGATTTGGGGTACAACATAACATTAGAGTGAACGATTATAAAGGGTGTCAATAACTGAATGACTTCTTTTAAATTTGTATCAGATATCGGTTTTTGGGTAAGCGAGAACATCATGGTCCACATCAAACAAAGGGATCATCGTGTAAATGTTAACTACCCGTTCTTTGAATGTTATGGTAAAAAAAAAACACCTGTATTTAACCACAATGTGCCCAGGTGCATACTACAGGCCAGAGGTTCTCAAACGCTGAGGCGCGGCGAAGATCAGGAGCAGACATGCTACCGTGTCAAAGAAGACTTGTTTTAAAAGTTTTCAAAAGTCTTGAATTGGGTATGAGACCATTTTTTCACAGGTCTGATCTCGTTTGGTATTCAGGAAAAAGGGGGGGGGGTGGGAATCGGTAGCCTGCAGCTACATTTTTGTGAGAATTATCAAAAATATTTCTGACCAATATGTTATAGTTTTGAGAACCCTTGGATGATGTTAATTGGATGATCTGAATTTAACAATGTTAAAATATTTATAGGGATTAAAGGATATGGTCTGAAGGCTTTAACGGGTATGTTCACATGATCTGAAGGATTAAAGGAAATGATTACATTATCTGAAGGATTAAAGAGCATGATCTCAGGGTCTGAAGGTTTAAAGAGTCTGTCTAATTCACACGTTGCAACCTATATATATAATTAGGGAACTGGAACTCATTGTTGTTTTTCGCCACGGTTGTGCGATTTCGCGGCATTGTGAGTAGTCATGCTAAATATCACCCTCGGCTTATTTATCCCCACAAGTGTCGCAAGTTTCTATAATTCCTGCTCTGCACAGGTTGCGTCTATTGAACAGCCGTGCGAGGATCAGATGCGCTCCGCCTATTCATTGACGAGTGCCCGGCTAATCCAGCAGATACGGGCACGTGAGAATCGCAGTGAATACATTTATGTGAGTCGTTTCTTTCTCGCAACTAGTCCGTTCTGATGTTTTATTAATACATTTTTAAAAAGGATTTTCGGAATGTCATCTCTTTAGGTCTTACTTGGCTACCCTGTGTCTGGTCAATGGTTAGTTAGCCTGTCCGGTCAATGGTCAGTCTGTCAGGTCAATTGGTCAGCTTGTCAGGTCAGTGGTCAGTCTTTGAGGTCAATGGTTAGCCTTGCTGGTCAACGGTTAGCCTGCCTGGTCAATGGTCAGTCTGTCAGCGCGGTCAATGGTCAGCTTGTCAGGTCAGTGGTCAGTCTTTGAGGTCAACGGTTAGCCTTTGCTGGTCAACGGTTAGCCTGCCTGGTCAATGGTCCGCATTTAAGGTCAGTCGTCAAGTCTGTCTGGTCAATGGTCAGCCTGTCAGGCCCTTCTGTCATGTCGCCATCCTAAGCTAAGAAACAGATGACAAGCGCGTGTCACGCTACGTCATCCGTGATGACGCCCAACCAAAATGTTAACACAACACACACACACACACACAAAATATACACACATCCTTTACATACACATCCTTCGAATAAATTTTATCTACATCACCTGGGAACACTAAGGTCCGGTTTTAAGGTGTCACACGTGCCACATAACCAGATCACTATCAAGAGGACGACGGAACAGCTGATAGGTACCTTTTAAATTTGATCTATATTTTAGAAACACAATTTAAGTAATATTTCACTTTAAAAAAAAAAAAAAGCATATTTTTCACTTAAACTTCAATAACGTGCACTGTGTGCGTGTGTCTTCTTTGGTGTTCTGTGTTCCTGTCTCTTCTTCGGTGTTGTATGTTCTTGTGTCTTCTTGGGTGATGTGTGTACTTGTGTCTTCTTTGGTGTTGTGTGTTCTTGTGTCTTCTTTGGTGTTGTGTGTTCTTGTGTCTTCTTTGGTTTTGTGTGTTCTTGTGTCTTCTTTGTGTTGTGTGTTCTTGTGTCTTCTTTGGTGTTGTGTGTTCTTGTGTCTTCTTTGGTGTTGCGTGTTCCTGTAGCTCCTTTGTTTTTGTTGTTCTTGTCTCTTCTTGGGTGATGTATGTTCTTGTGTCTTCTTTGGTGTTGTGTTTTCTTGTGTCTTCTTTGGTGTTGTGTGTTCTTGTATGCAATTTTTTCATAAATCCAAATGGGTATGTCTATCAAAATTGCAATTTTAACTGAAATATTTTAACATGATAAAACTACGACATATGACTAATAGGGCATATTGTAGAATAAATGTCATAAATATTGTTCTAATTTATGAAATATGTTGTTTTTAAATGCTGCTTTTCTCTGCATCTAACCATCGAACTTTGCACTAAGATGACTCATCAGCACTAAGACCCATGAGAGTAAAAAATAAATGACAATGCCACACTATTACCCATTATGCTAACCTGTGAGATGACGAAGCAGTGATTAAGATCCATGTGGCCTAGCATTTAGAAGTCAATGCAATCCGAGGGAACCATGGGACTTATCACTAAGAAATCAAAGCAGTCACAGGAACCATGGGACTTATCACTAAGATGTCAAAGCAGTACTAAAATCAATGGCGGTTGTCATAGTGTTGACTTGTTTTATGTTTGTCAACTGAACTGCAGATGATAGCAGGCGATCAACGGGATAAGAAATAGAACTGTTAAATTGCATCATGGAAACTAGGGCAGATATAAAGTGTAGCAATGACATTGGTGAAACCACGGCAGATATAGAGAGTAACAATGACATTGGTGAAACCAGGGCAGACATAGAGAGTAACACTGACATGGTGAAACCAGGGCAGATATAAAGTGTAACAATGACATTGGTGAAACTAGGGCAGATATAAAGTGTAGCAATGACATTGGTGAAACTAGGGCAGATATGAAGTGTAACAATGACATTGGTGAAACTAGGGCAGATATAAAGTGTAACAATGACATTGGTGAAACCAGGGCAGATATAAAGTGTAACAATGACATTGGTGAAACCAGGGCAGACATAGAGAGTAAAAATGACATTGGTGAAACCAGGGCAGATATAAAGTGTAACAATGACATTGGTGAAACCAGGGCAGACCAGGGCAGATATAAAGTGTAACAATGACATTGGTGAAACCAGGGCAGACATAGAGAGTAAAAATGACATTGGTGAAACCAGGGCAGATATAAAGTGTAACAATGACATTGGTGAAACCAGGGCAGACATAGAGAGTAAAAATGACATTGGTGAAACCAGGACAGATATAAAGTGTAACAATGACATTGGTGAAACCAGGGCAGATATAAAGTGTAACAATGACATTGGTGAAACCAGGGCAGATATAAAGTGTAACAATGACATTGGTGAAACCAGGGCAGACATAGAGAGTAAAAATGACATTGGTGAAACCAGGGCAGATATAAAGTGTAACAATGACATTGGTGAAACCAGGGCAGATATAAAGTGTAACAATGACATTGGTGAAACCAGGGCAGATATAAAGTGTAACAATGACATTGGTGAAACCAGGGCAGACATAGAGAGTAAAAATGACATTGGTGAAACCAGGGCAGATATAAAGTGTAACAATGACATTGGTGAAACCAGGGCAGATATATTTTTTTCCAAAAAGTTGGATGTTTAAGTATTTCAAAAATACCAACAAAAAAAAACAACAACATATAGTTGGCGATAGTATTCCTACTTTTTACGTACTTGGCTTAGTATGAATAAACAGCCGTTATAACAAAGTTGTTTGCATAAATACTCTATAAAATTTAATATCGAGCGTTGGGGATAGGGCTAAAAAATTCGGACAAAATGTGCATTGTAATACGAAGTTTATAAAAATCTCAATTTGTGCTCCCCCCACCCAAAGGCTCGCAACCCCATATTTACTTCACGTTCTGACTTATATTAATATTCTAATGACCCACCCACTCTTTACACCGCAGATTGATTTCATCAACTATTTCAGAAAAACAAATGAAAGTAATACGCACAAAACGCATTGCGATGCTCTAAGAAAAACAACAACAACAAAACAAATCCTTTTGCGCAGTTATCGGGAATTTAATGTCGCAAAATCCTATTTCCTTTATCTTACAGTACATAAAACAGAAGAGAAAAAACACACTTATTTGGGGGTTTTGTGTGGATGGGGCTAATACTAAAGAGATTTCGTTGTCATTGGCAACGAGTCTATGCGCAACATTTCGGCTAGAGGGATTGACGGGAAGTGGGTCAATTTACATTCCGAAGATTTGTTGCCAGTCCGCAATCCAAGCCAGGCAGCCACACGCGAACAAAAGCGAGGTTAATATAAAGGATTCCAAAATAATAATATTAATAGATATAATAGATATAATAGATATTTAAATTAAAGAATCTTTATGTTTTCCATCCGTTTATCAAATAAAAGAAATTTATAACGTTGTTTCAAACGATGGCGAAACAGATCGTTTTATAATATACTAAATGATTTATTAAAATTTCGAAATTCGGATAATCATTCTACGAAATCCAAAATCTAAATTCCATTTCTAACTCCTAAAGATTCATTGGTTATATCACGCGGTGCAAATGTACAGCTTACGAGAATGGGAAAACAATCAGATGCATTTAAAGTCATTGGCATAAAGGTACCCTTGAAAGATGAAAATACATAATATAAACAAAGTTGTGATAAAGGAGAGATTTTTAGCCAAAGATGTAACAATGTGTATGTCGTCATCATCCATCATTTAGCAAAAGTGACAAATTCAATTCAAAAATATTTTCCGTTTCAGGTCTGCAAACATGGATGAGTACCAACTGTGGGCGCCTATTGCCAAAAAGTACACTGTGCACGACGAGACGTACCTGTGGACCCGAAACTTGCTGGCCAACGGATTCAAGCCGTACAACGAACTCGGTTTGGAGAAGGCGAGACAGCATATCAATGAGAGGACCAGGATGCAAACCCCCGTAACTGACTACATCGGTGATGAGTGGGAGGTAATTGTGCCATCGCCCTACTCAAAAGACGGAATTCCCGTAACGGTGTATAAACCTTCCTCGGCACCGGAAGTTCCCGCCATATTCATGTATTTCCATGGAGGAGGTCTCCTCTTGGGGAATCGCAAAATGAGTGAGGGGATCGTCCAGATTATTGCAAGGGATACCGGGGCGATCGTCCTGACCGTCGAATACCGGTTGTTACCAGACCCAGTATTCCCTTTCGCCCCTTTTGACGACGGGGTCGTCGTCACCAATTGGGTTTTAGAAAACAAGGAAGTAGTCGGTGGTAACCCGGACAGTAAAGTCGGCGTCGGGGGTGACAGCGGTGGTGGTCATCTCGCCGCCAGCGTCACGAATGACGTTCGAGGGCTGGACTTCCAGGTTCTCGTCTACCCCATGACGGACACGACCTTGTCCAGTCCAACCATCCAAGAGTTCGCTGAATGCCCTACACTCTGTCAAGCGGATGTCAAATGGTTTGTGGAAACCATGGCAGGACCCATCCCCGACTACAACAGCAACCCAAGGGTCAACGTCATGGTGCGCACCAACACCGGGGACTCCCCACCGACCCTCATGATCCTCGCGGAACTCGATCCTATGAAGGGCGGTGGGCTCGACTACGCCGACATGCTGAGAGCCGCCGGGGTGAGCGTTCAGTGTGAGATAATCAAGGGCGTCCCTCACGTCTTCTTCATCATGCGCGATATTTTTAAGACGAAATGCGCTGAAGCCTACGCCCATGTCGTCAAATTTCTAAAACAATTCCAGTCAAAAGCTATTGACTAACACTCCCTGACGCGACAAACATTATTTTAAAACGATTTACCGCAAACAGACCTAATTGCCTGAAGTAGCAAAATCAACGAGAGAACCAAAAAAATTGGATTATTTAATCAGTCGTATTTATTTTTATACTTAAGCGTAAACAGAGTTTTACTCTAGATTCACATGTTTTAAAAATTAGCTTGCTCAGTACCTTGTTCAATGCGAAACCACACATGGATGGTCGTAGCCTTGGTATTTAGGAAGTTTTATAAGATGACTTTCTTCCCCATTCTTGTTCTTCATATTAAATTACTTGTTGAACAATCAATAATCAATAATGCTGAACTTTTTGTCGGTTTATTCAATATCTTTGGTTGTTGTTTTCGTTGTTGTTTATTTTTAGGTTGTTTTTTTTTTACAGCATGCTTTGATTTTTGTAAAATCTGTAATAATTATGAGCCATTCTGTAGTAAACAAATTTTGCAAATAACTCGCACTGCCGTCAGAGAACGCGGATGACTGTTTTGGGTTGTAGGGAAAATGTGACTTAATGCGTAGTCTGTTAACGTATTAACTATTTCATTGACATCTTGCTCCATTATTTCCTACAAGAGATGATCACACTGTTTTGATGGTCTCGTGCAGCTAATTTCTATGCGCTGCTGTTGCACCGAGATTCTCGGGGATGTCGCGAGATTTTAAGAAAAATGAATTTTTAAAAAATCTTTATCACATTAAAAAAAAAACACTAAAAATTAGACGGACACCATAAAATCCCCCCCCCCCCATTGTCTGATCAAATCAGCAATTAAAATATTCGTTCAAATCACCACTCAAATCAGTATTTACATCATCAATAAAAATCAGCGATCAAATCAAAAAATAAACACAGTTCAAGCCATTTGTCCGAAAATGCGTCAAGGAGAGTTAACTGGTGTAACAAGGTTGTGATTTGGAATAAAAACACAGTGAGTGCCACCTTGTGATAATAAATGAAGGACTGCGTTCAACCTGTGTGTGGGAACTATTGGAACGAGGTAAGTGGAAGCTTGAAATAGAGGGGAGAACGATTCGGTTGAGAGACTTGTTCAGCAGGCAAGGGGACAAAAACGGAAAGGTTTCCCTTTAAAATATTGGAAATTCAAATTCACACACTGCTAAGTTTTGTTATATACATTGCATTATACAAAGGCCAACGGTACATGATACAAAAGTCACCAGTAAATTATACAAACGTCAACAGTACATTACACAAATGTTAACAAAACATTATACAAATGCCAACAGTACATTATACAAACTTAAACTTTACATTGTACAAACGTTAACAGTCCGTGATACAAACGTCAACAGTACATGATACAAACGTCAACAGTGCATGATACAAACGTCAACGGTTCCCTTTAAGCTGGGCTGGTCGCGCAGCAATCTCAAAGACGCCGCGTAGCAGTTTTGAGTATCCACAATTTTTTTAGACATAACTTTGAACAGATACACTGTACTCTGCAGCCGGATTTATTCAATTTTTATAACATATAAATCCATGTTTTTTTTTAATTTGAATCAGATCTATAGCGCCATCCCTTGTTAAGATTAAGTGGAGATCAAATTTTAAAACGAAATGGCGCAATAACTTTGCGCATGCAGCACAACCAGATTCGTCGTGAAATAGATGATGATGTCTGTGAAATGGGCTTCAATGCTAATGATGGTAAAGATTTCTCCACCAGAAAAAGCTGGGAGGATTGGAAGCTGAATAATCAAGCAACAAAAACACACCGATGCTGTACAGAGACTTCATTCTATTCAGTGGGAAGGCGTTTTGTGAATGCTTGCAGAAAGTGTCGCTGATCGAGGAATGCGCTAAGAAACAGCACAGCTTTAACGTGATAAGACGAGGTTTAGATTTTGATTGGCAACGTCCTTTTGGCTACCTACCTGAACACATTTCCGTCCATTACACACACAACGATATGGTTAAGTATGCCCTGGTCTCTGATAGCTGACGCAGTGAGAATTACGCTTTTGAGTTTGTTGATTCTATCGATTGTGTAGTGAAGAATGCTATAATTAGCAAACTTCGCAATGCAAAGTTCCCGAACATTAACAGGAGATGAGAGCAATAATATATCACTGACAAAACTGATGATCTTATACACGTAAAGTTTCGGGCATGTCCCTATAATGTTTACAATACAGCCTAGTGTTTGTTGGAATTTTATCTCTGTCGGCATGTGACAGTAAATCTGTGGAATCAGCAACAACAGAGTTTTATCAGGAGAATTCAATGGACATGCAGAAAATGATTGTTTACTTCTGATGTTGCATCTGTTATGTTAAGCAAGAAAAATGGCATTGCAGCCATTCTTCTCCGATGTATTCCACATCTACTGGAACAACACTGCGTTGCTCATCGTGAAGATTTAGACATGGGTGATGATTGCAAAAATATTCGTTTAATTGCAGACATTGAAACATTCCTTAGGATAGTGTACACATTGTTCAGTAGGTTGACAGTACGGGGAGCTCAGTTTACAGAACTAGCTAAGGTGTGATCCCGTAGTCTTTTGACCAATGAATGAAATCATATGTCTTTCACGGAACTTTGCTTTACGAGCATTGCCGAGAAACATACACGTGTTGACCAACGTTCCCTTTAAGCATCGAGGCTACGCGGGCGCGCAGATATCTTGCAGACGACGCGCAGCAGTTTTGAGTACCTTCGCAGCAAATGTCCATGTAAGTGTGTGTTTATTCTTCTGGGCTGTACAATTTTGCACACAAAAAATGGATGCTGTAAATTTTGCACACAACTGTATGATATTTCACACGAACCAACAAACCTTAGAGGGAACATTGGTGTTGACTGAATACTGTAAGGAGCAGGTGGGCCTGTATGATGATCCATTTCATAAGTACTTTTGAAGAGACTAAGGAAGCCGCAGTTTCGAACTGCACTAATTGTCTTTGGGGAAGTTAGTGAACTTTCTGAATTATGCAAGCTGCTATAGTGTGTAAAAACAAGGATCGCTAAGCTCAGTGCAGTGCACATGGGTGAAAATGTGCATTGGTCCCAAGAGGTTGCTGCATTGTTTGCAAATGACTAAGATATAAACAGGAGTTCTATCCTAAAACTCTTTGAATTTTTTACATGGGTGGGGCAAGGTTTTTACTTACCCCTTCTATGATTGAAAACTCTACTGTTGGTCGAAAATACTACCCCTTCTTTAAAAAAAGGGAAGAAAAGGGGACACTTGTGTGTGTGAGAAGGGTGGTAAATCATCCCTTCCTACGCCACTAATGAACAATTACTTCCCCAGAAATATGTTATGTAATATGTTAATCTCTCTCTCTCTCTCTCTATTCCCCTCACTGTCTTCCCATCTCTTTTTCTCTCTCCTCTTCTTTTTCTCTCTAAACCCCTTTGTCCTTTTCTGCCCCCGCCCTTTCTCCTTCTCTCTCGTCCTCTCTCTCTCTCTCTCTCTATCTCTCTATTCCCCTCTCTCCCTCCTTCTCTCCCCTTCGTTTCTTCCACTCACCATTCACCCCTCTCTCCCCCCCTCTCTCTCTCTCTCTCTCACTCACTCTCTTCCCTTAGTATACATTGACATACAAGTCTAAATTTAAACATGACTCGTTCGGGTATGGGGTACAACATAACATTAGCGCAAACGATTATAAAGGGCGTCAATAACTGAACGGTTTCTTTTAACATTGTATCAGATATCGGTTTTTGGGTAAGCGAGAACATCATGGTCAACATCAAACAAAGGGATCATCGTGTAAATGTTAACTACCCGTTCTTTGCAAGTTACGGTAAAAAAAAACAACAACTGTATTTAACCATAATGTGCCCTGGTGCATTCTATAAGGCAGAGGTTCTCAAACGATGAGGCGCAGCGAAGACCAGCAGCAGACATGCTACCGTGTCAAAGAAGACTTGTTTTAAAAGTTTTCAGAAGTCTCGAATTAGGTATGAGACCATTTTTTCCACAAGTATGATCTCGTTGGTGTCAAGGGGGGGGGGGGGGGAGAGAAAAAACTTGGTAGCCTCCAGCTACTTTTTTTGTGAGAATTATCAAAAATTTTTCTGACCAATATTTTATAGTTTTGAGAACCCTTTGATGATGTTAACATTTTCTGAAGATCTCTTTT